ATTGATAACCATATTACATCTGGTGGAAGTTATTTTTACTTTCAAAAATGGCTAGAAGAATTATCAGACATAGAAGAAGCTTTGCCAAATGGATTGTTATTTATTGCTTTTGATAATGAGCAGAAAGGGCAAAAGAATTACCTTGATCATGGATTTAATAAAGTTATTTTTCATATTGTTACCAGTTTTGTTGCATTCAATATGGAACCTAGCAATGAAGCACAACATATAAATAATCCTTGGGTATATAATTCTCTTAATGAACAACAATACAAAGAACTTTTTGAACTTTCACCTGAAATGCAAGAAGAAATGATAAAGAATTATATACTTATCTTTCAGAGATCCTTGGTCTATTATGCAAAGAAAAATCTAATTTAACGAATGTTATTGATGTGCTTATAGAAAATAATGAATCAAATAATAGATTTAGTAAATATTGTCCTAATTGTAATGAACAAAACATTCAAAATAGAAAGCAAAATTGTCCTAGTTGTTTGTAATGCTAAATTACCTATGCTGGGGAAATTACAAAAACAAAATATAATTGAAGAATTTAGCACACCAGATAATTACAAAAAGCCTCTCATAATTTTGGAAGTGAATCAAGAGCTTCTTCTACTTCCAGAATCAGTATTACACAACAACCAGTTGCTAATTCAGGTGTTAAAGTTCCTGATATTTACATTCCTGATCCTTTAAATATTAATCCTAATTCAATAGATAGTGTTGAAAAAATTCTTCTTCACATTGAAAAAATTTCTGGGGTTAAAGAAGGAATTCATAAATGGATAACTGTGGCATGTGATGGTGTTCCATATCATCATGCTACCAAAATACAAGGGAAATTTCCTTGGTTAATACTTGTACCTGGCCAGTCACATGAGAAATGAATATGCTCTGGGCATATGTTGAACTGAATTGGTAATTTTTAATTTTTTTTCTTTTTAATTAAAAAAAAATTTTTTTATTTACAATAAATTTATTTAATTATTAAATTAGGGAAATAGGTATCAAACAGTTTGCTAAGTTACAAGGTTATAATAGATCAGAAAAACAACTTGGATATTTTAAAAAATGTCTTGATCACCATAAATCCTGGGATTCTATTTGCAGAATTTATTTTCAAGCAATGTCATTAGAGCTTATGTGGCCATATATAAAGAGTCATGCTAATCCAACAGTAGAAGGTTATCTTGCTTGGGCTAAAGAACAAAAGGATCAAATTTATCAAATTAAATATGAACAAGTAAAAAAAAAAAAGATTTCTTTTATTTTATTGCAATTATATTATTATTGTATTATTTATTAACATTTTTATACCAATTGTTTGAACAGATATTTATATATTTACAAGCAATTATTAACTTTAGAGTAGGTGTAAGGACTAACAGACCTTTGCTTAAAAGTGCAGCAAGAAGAGCCTTTTCACCTATTTGGTCTGCACAAAGGCATCCAATATATCAATTAATTGAAATTTCAGATGAAGTGCAGTTAAAAAAACTTCATCCAATGGTATGTGATATAATTCTGTGGTATCTCATTCAGGACTATATAACCAACGCCAAGGGATGGATGCTGTTCTAGAAGAAGTGAATAAAGCCCTAAAAACTTTAATACCTCCAGTTCCTCAAGAACATCATTGGATAATTGCAGCATGTAATTGCAAAAAATTCTTTCAAGTAATAACATAATTTTAACCTTTTATATGGTATTTTAAAATTTTAAAATTGACTTTTTGATTTACTTTGTAATATTATTATATACATATATTCAGTTGTGAAACAATTTTTTTGAAACAATTGGATATAATGATATACATACATCTGGACCAAGAACTCATCCTGAACCAATTGCAGAATGTCAAAGATTTCAAGCTCATTTAAGAAATCTTAATTTTATTAATCCAGCAGAAACAAGGGCTATTCATAAAAGTTTAGGTGAAGAATATGAGTTAAATGATCAATTAAAAGATTTTAGTTATATAGCAAAAAAAAAACAACAAGAATATATTATGGAAGTATTTTATAAGAAAAATAAAGCTCCTTTATTTAGGCCAATTCCAATAACTAAAGAAGAATCTATTGCACAAAATAAAGAAGAAAATCTGTCAAAAAAAGAAATATTACTCAAGATAGAAACTCTCCTTGAACAAATGAACAAAAATATTCAAAAAAATTATCATGCAATAAAGTCAAAAAATCGAAGTGAATTATTAATTATATTACAAGAGGTAACTAATTTGTTTAATACAGATAATGAACTTGATAAACATGATGATTTAGGATATCCAGGAATTACACAGCAAGAATTTTAGCTTTATTATAAATAAAGTAAGTCCAGGTAAGTACAGTAATTTAAAAGTTTAGTGAACTATATATTTATTATTTATATATAAAAAGGTAAAAAGCAAAAAATAACTATATATACCATTAATATTAATGTTAATTATAAAAATTTGTATTTTTTAAAAATTCTTTCACATTTAAAAATAAATCTATTGCTCTTTTCTTTCAATAGTTTTTTTTTTAATAATTATTCTGCCTAATCCTCTATCATTGTTGATCTAATACATCAGGAAATTTTTTCTGATGTAAATTTACGTAATATTGTGGGGCCTGCCATAAACTTATGTAAATAGTGTAATATTATGCAAAAATTGCACAAAAATTATGCAATTATTACATTCAGTGTAAATATTATGTCCTTTTTATGCGAAATATTACAACATTTCATATTAAAACTTATGGATGTAATATTACGGCAGGAAAAGTTTCCTGATGTAATATTATTATGGTATTCAAAACTCACCTGGATGCTCAAATTTTTGTTCCATTTTTAAATAATAATTTGATTTTTTATATTCAATGAAAGGATAAATTTGGCCAACCAAAATTTCTTCTAAAGAAATTTCCAGAACTTTTATCATTTATAAATTAGGAAATACCAAATTTAGCATATTCCCTGACTGCACTATGCTTGTATACAGTGAGAGGTGCATTTATGGAGGGATGCATTTATAGAGGGAAGAATTTTATTGTTTTCACGTGATATTAATAAAAATTATTGTACGGTTTTAAATATTTTTTTAATTATATACTTGGCCTAAAGACCTTCTAAATTTTGGGCAAATTTTAAAGTATAGAAGTCACTTTCTGTCCTACCTTTTAAAAAAATAGCTCTATTAGTTGATAGAATATGTCTTTAGTTTTAATGTAATAGAGATTTTCTCAAAAAAATTATTTGTTGTAGAGTTCTATTCTTTTTAAAACATGTATATACTTTACTATGCTTGCGAGGAATTTGTCCACTATGATCATTTCTAAATATTACCAAATTTAGACTAGCTCTTGACTATCGTATCTAAATTTGGCAGTAAGAAACTAAAATCATGTAAAGTCCTATTTTTTGAAAAATTTTATTACGAATTACAAAATTGCTATTTGAAATTTATGTTTAATAAAAGTAACCAAAAATAAAATAAAGAACAATTAAGACAAGTTAATGCCCTTGAGCAATACATTAATTTAAAAAAAATTTTCAATGAAGCAAACCACAATGAAACAATTTTTTAGTCAACAACAATATTTAATATGTAATAATAATATGGTTGTCTCGATCTAAAGACCTCCTATTGCTGCGCCATACGGCCAAATTTTTAAAAAAAATTCATGATCTTTTATCTTTTGTTTAATCCTTAATTTTTTTAATTTCGCATATATATAATTTTCTCCATTTGTTTTTTATCATTATTATTCTAATAACTCTTTGTAAACATTATTTAATCCTTTATAAGCAACAGTAGCTGCTTAATCCTTTATTTTCCATGAATTAATTAATGTAACACGAACTTATTTAGCAAATAAATCACGTGAAAGTCACGGGCATGCATTTAGAGAGGGTGGTTTTTATATGGGGGAAGACCGTGCAGTGCAGAGTATGGAGGGAGTGCATTTACCACTAATTCCCGAGGTTAGGAATGAGACATAGTGTGCATTTATGAAGGGATGCATTTATGAGGGTGGGTGCATTTATGGAGGGTTCACTGTAGTTAATTGTGGGTTTAATGAAACATATAAATTAAATATTTTTATAAATCTCAATTTCCTTACTAATTAAACTTCAACTCATTCCAACACTTCATTATGGCCTATTCGCTGTGAGCTTGAAGGTATTATCATCACACTTTGCCAAGAATTTTTTTTATTGCAATTGAATAGAAGGAGGAGAATATTGCATGGATCATAAGCCTTATCCCAAACCTTGTAATGATTATTTTTTCTATGTAAAATGTTGGATGATCTAATTGGTAGAAAAACATGTAATGGTTGTGATGGTCATACAGTTGCAATACCTACAACAAGGCTTATTGCCAACAATTTCAATGATGTGTGAATGAGATTATGGGTTTGGATGACTGTCTTTATTTTCAACCACTCTTTCAAGGGTTTCTAGGAATGTGTTTGCAGTTCCCTTAATTTGGTGTCTGGATTCAGTAAAATGTCCCAAGTATTTCTTGTCCTTGAATATATCAAACTATGGATATTGAAGTTTATCAATGATACTATCAATGATCCTATTGATTGCCAACTAAACTTAATTGAGAAATGTATCTTTAAAAGCATTTACAATCTAATTACTCAAAACCTCATGAAGAAATTTTCTATAACAAATATGCTCAAACAACTGATACCCTTCTTGGTAAAAATCAAGCATCAAGAACATTAAATGATGATTATATTGCAGAGTTTAGATTGTTAGAATGTTAAATTTGTATTTGTTTTTCCAGTATTTATAATGAAATTTTTATAGATCATTTCTTAATAATAAATAATATGATAAAGAAAATGAATATGCTATGAAAAATTATTATTTTAAAAGAGTTTAGAATAAGTAATTTCAATTCATTTAAAGCTCATCAATTACTTTATTAAATAAAATAAAATTGAAATGAAACACTTTTTCCAACCCGCTAAGAATTATTGGATACCTCAAATGTATTATTAATTGCATAACGATTATATAAAAAATTATAGCTTAAGTTCTGAAGATTACGCATATAAAATCCCATTTTTCCAAGTTTTTAGAGCTTATTTTTGAAAAAAATTTTTTTTGGTGAATGATTGTTCTAAAGCCCGCTAATTTAAGATCTGATATAATTTTTATTACGTAATTCTGGGTTTATAAATATATATTTTTTAGAAAAAAAATTTTTTGATAAATTTTTTATCTGTAGATGTTACACGAAAATAAACCCTTTTGGATCCAAAAACAAAAGTAAATCAACTATATATCAACAATAAATAAATTAATTAATTAATAATAATAATAATAATAATAATGACAGATACTCTTATTACTGAAGAAAAAAAGAATGATGCTACTGTAGTTGAGAAGAGTGACGGTGTTATTACTGATAAAAATGTAGAAGAGGAAAGTATTAAAAAAACATCTTCACAAGACGACGATAAAGGGGATAAAGAATTAATAACTATTACTAGTAGTAGTACTAGCAATAGTGGTGCCACAGCTGCTAAAAAAAATGCAACAGTAGAAGATGAGGAAGATTCAGATGATGAGGATGATATTCCCGAGTTGGCAGAAGAACAAGGATTATTACCTGATGTATCATCATTGAATCTTGATAGTTTAACTGGTGGCAGTGGTGGTGGTGCTATAAAAGCTCAATCTCGTGGAGAGAAAAAAGCTCGTAAAGCAATGCAAAAATTGGGATTGGTACATGTTCCTGGTATTACTAGAGTTACAATTAAAAGAGCAAAAAATGTAAGAGAAAGTTCCGGTCATTAATTAATTTTTAAATGGTTATTTTTAAAAACATCAATCAATCAATCAATCAACCAACCAATCAATCAATCATATTATAACATTAAAATTTATTTATTTTTATAGATGTTGTTTGTTGTTTCCAATGCCGACGTTTACAAATCATCAAATTCTGATTGTTACATTGTATTCGGTGAAGCCAAGGTTGAAGATCTTAACTCGCAAGCTCAAGCAAACGCAGCACAACAATTTCAAAATGCGGCCGAGACCACAACTTCTGCTATTGCATCCAAGGAAACTGCTAAAGTCGAAGAAACAAACGAAGAAGATTCAATACCTATTGATGAAACTAATGTGGAAGCTAAAGATATTGAATTAGTTATGCAACATACTGTAAGTATGAAAGTATAGGATGGTGGTGACACGGAGAAATGATTTAGGAGATTCAAGAAAAAATTGATTGACTGACTGATTTATTTTTTTTTTTTAGAATTGTTCACGTGCTAAAGCTGTTAAGGCTCTAAAAAACAATAACAGTGATATTGTTAATGCTATCATGGTAACGTAAATCTGTTTATAAATTATAATGGAATACGTGTTATGAACTAATCATTTCTTTTTTATTTTATAGGAATTACAATAAAAATTAATAATATTAATAAATCTATATATATAATTACATCTATTGATTTTTAATGTCATTATATAATGAGACGATAGCATCATAACTTCCAATTGTAGCAATTGTTATAGAAAACATTAAAGTAAAAATTATCCAAACTTTTTCCCAATTATTATTTTCCAATTTACTCCATCCAACAAGCTTTAACCATAACAACAATGGGATAACAACCACCAACGAACCATTTGCCAATGCACCTAATAATGACATAATATCAGCAAAAAAAGGTATTGACACAGCAATATAGACTTCCGCAATAACAGTTACAAGTCGTAACAATGTCCGATAAATGAATTCACGTAGTTTGCCCAATTTATTCTCGTTAATACCATAATAATTTTCTAATTCCAATGAGAATACTGTCTGATAAATCGGTAATGCAAATGTTACATGCAGTGTAATTAATATTATCACAGCCTTAACCAGTATTCCATCAGGTAAATTTAAATAGATTGGTGATTTTGCATCATTTCCATAAGTAAAATAACCAAAAAATCCAATTATTAGATATAATATTGTAATTGTAAACATTACAAATGAAACTACTTTTGGCCAATTTCGTGGTTTTCTCATGCTAAATGAATTGATGTTGATTAGAAGAGTAGAAATGCGTCAAATAAACAAACAAACAATCTATCGATCGATTAAAATTACTAATCAATAAATTATTATGACGAATAATTTAATTACCTTTCTTCGACATATGGATAAACAATATTTCCGCCATAACTAAAACTGACAGTTGCAAGCGAAATTGGTAATTTTCTCACGAAAATTATGTCATGCGGATTATCTTTATTATTTGGATAATCAATTATAGACATTATCATAACGACGAATACCATCAATACAACCGTTAACACTCCAAAAAGGCTATTTGGTAATTTTGTAAAAGAAACAGAAAATAATTAGAAAAATTTTCATGGAATGTTTTGCCGTTAATATTATAAAATCAATTCCTTAAAAATTCACATAATCTACCTCAACAATTTAACATCTTTCATAGTTTTTAATAGTATGTATGGAATACACATAATACTTGCCACTAAATAAATCCAGTTTTTCATCCCAAAATCAATCTTTGAAAATATCATTTGTAAATTATCGCCAATCAATATCAAATACAGTATCGGACAGCCAACACTTATGCAATTAAATAAAAACCCAACTATCGCCGAACCACTCCTGCCAAATGCATCATATGCTAATTCGGACATTGAAGTCCTACGACGATTCCTATTCAAAAATAAAATTATGCACATTTAAAGGCTTGAAATTAATATCACGTAATATATACATATATATATATGAAACAGTTACCCATCGTAGTATAAACATTCAATCAATTTTATATTTGCATAAGTTGCCATTACAGCTGCTAAAATTAAAAATATAATTGTAATCCATCCACCTTGTTGTATAGCATATGGAATGCCCAGTGTTCCTGCTCCTGCTACAACACACCTGAAAATTTGGAAATAATCATTTAATATATATATTTACAATTTAATAATAATATTAATAATACCACTCACACACAACTCATAAATGCATTCAAATTAGATCCACCCTGTTCACGTCCTTTATAATCATCATCATGATTTATTAATTGTGAATAGTTATCATCAGGAATTGATTCTTCACGAACTTTTTTTTTTGAAGAAAAAAATGGATTGTTTAGCTTGTTTATATATAAATAAAAAAATCTAAATGATAAAATATAAATTTATTTTAACCAATTCCTATAGCTCCATAATTATTATTATTATTATTATTACCGAAAAATTTTTTGATGTTGCCCATTGTTAATTATTATTATTATTATTATTATTATTATTATTATTATTATTATTATTATTATTATTATTATTATTATTATTATTATTGATTATTATTATTAATATTAATTATTATTATTGATTATTATTATTATTAATATTATTAATTATTATTATCAATATTTTGTAAACAAAAAAAATTTGATTTTCTCTTTAATTTATAAAAAAAAAAACCTTGCTCATGATGATTCATCAATGTTAAAACTAAATCTTATTAGTAAATGTGTATTATTCAAACTATAATTTTTTGGTACAAATAAGATAGTTTAATGCATATGTCAAAAATCAAAAAAGGGAAAATACATGATACCATATTCTTAAATGACAATTATTCGTGTCCCTGTGAAAAAGGAATACAGTATGATAAATAGTAATAGTAATAAATAGAATATAGAATGTCTGTAAGAAAGGGGGCGTACTGCATGAATTTAAAATTCAATAGCGTGTTGGGATTTGTTGATCTTTGTTTTATCAGAGTAATCAATCAAAAAAGGTAAACCTCATGACTTTATTATTTGGCTTTTACTGCATACATTTGGGAATTCCTTGTTCCCTGTATTTGTTGGTAAAAGAGTTCATCTTTTACCTCTTCATTTAGCTCTTCTCATTTCAGGATTCTTTCCAAGTGTTCATCCTTGCTAAATTTTGATAATGATTCATATCCTGTTTGTATTGTGCAGGCTCAGGTTAATTCTACGTTTTCGTGCTACAATGTCTATTTTGTTTTAACTGATTGAAAAAAGCAAAAGTTTTTGAGTTTTCACTTTAATTTGCTCGCTGTGTTCTTTGTTCTTTGTCCTTTTCCTAACATAGCCTTTTACGTATATCTCAAACTGGGCTAATTTTGTTTGAAGGTTTTGATTTTATTCTTCTTGTTCTCTAATTTGATTACTGTTGCTTTATAGTTTGATACATGATATTGTATAATTGTTTTACTTTTTCATTATCACCCATTCATCTATTTCAATTAATTCTTTATAAAACACCTTTACCCTCCTTACAGTTTTCAGAGAAGCAACCTTTTTGATACATGTGATGATTAATGTTTTGATTTAATTGAGCAGAATTTAAGCAAGGCTTTGCCATCATTCTTAATTCTGAAAACTCTTTTTTTCCGGTTTAATTATTTTATTTTCTTTCAGAATGTTGCTTATTATACATAATTTTCGCTCTATTCTTGTTTCTCACATTCTTAAACGATATTTCTATATAAAATTATTTATACAATCGAACCTCGTCACAACCTAATACTAATTAAATACGTATTTAGTATTAATAATAACGAACATATCAAATCCGTTATAACGTGACTAGTACTAGTACTAAATCCATTACAACGGGAGCTGTTATAACGAGGTTCGACTGCGTTAAGAAAGGATTGTCCCTTACGTCTTTCTAAACAAAAAGAAAATTTACCAGAAACTATGAAAAGTCGTAACCAATAAAAAGTTTGTGTATTTGCCAAAAACTTTGTATATATACAATGATCTAAATCATCAATTCGATTGTTCTCCATCCATTATTATTATAATAGACTTTTTATCATCGAGGAAAAGGAAATAATAGTAATTCTAGTGTTTCGTTTGTTTTTTATTTTGATCATAAATATAGTATAACCTTGTTACAACAAAGTGGCTAGGCATATAAGAAAATTTCATTCAAAATTCGTTGAAACTAGTGATGAATGGGCGATTAATAACCCAAGTTATTAACTTAAAACTGATCGGGAAGGTTTTTTACGCCTCTTCACTAATTACTAATCGCGTTTCAACAAATTTTTATGCTTTTATAATGTGGTAACAAGAATTTAATTATTATTATAATACATTGAAACAAGATTTCACTGTAAATAATAATAATAAAATAATGAATCTGCATCGTCAAAAAATTTTTTAGTCGATTAAAGAAATTTTTGATCAACTAGTAGTCGATTAGGGATTTTTTTGGACGGTTCCGACTTCTACATTATAAAGTGGTGCTATACTAAGCCCATACTTTAACAAACAACCTCTCCGAATGTAAAGTATCTTATTACTTCCAAGATGAAATCTAAACAATTAAAAGGAAGTTATAAATATTTAAATTGATCAATACAAAATAATGTCTTTCAATAAAACTCACTTATTAATATCTTCATCTATTTTGGATCTCTTCGTTGTCTTGAATTATCGATTTCTTTATTATGTATTAAAAAAAATTTGTGATCATACCTATTAATTTCAATTATTGTCAAACTTTAGCAGACCTGCGCTTAAGCTAGCTTTATTCTATTTATAATAATAAAATCGGGAGCAAGCTTCTATGTATCTTCCATGTAGATAAGATAATTAATCTTGTGTTCTATTTTAAACAGCCCAGCTCACAGATTTGATTCAACTGTTCTTATTATTTCCCAAAGTCAAATATTTATTTTCGAACCATTTCTTGTAGGTTGATTAAGGTTAGAATTTGTCGCTTGTAAATGGAAGGTGTGAAGTAAATGTGGAAATCGACGGAATACCGATTTTATTGTTTTTATGCATTGACTGCTCGAAGGATAATTGTTCAGTGTATCTTTGAAAATTTTCTTCTTTAATTTGTCCAATGTAAATTATTTTTAGCTTACATAAACATCCAATTAAATGCTACTAAATTTTTGGTCAAGATTTTTGATTTGCCTGGCTAATTCGGAAGCCCGCAAGATATTTTAGAAGCAAGGTTGTGTTTTTTATTGATCACTTTGTATATATATGTGATATGATAATGTTGTTATCACTACTTGTTTTAATAATAATGTTCTTATTACCAAAAAGAAATCTTTGTTAGTAATATAAAAAAATGGCATCTTTGTTTAATGTAGTGATAGGATAGGTGACGGATTTACCACTGGTCCGTCACATACAAAGTCAGTGATAATGAATTCGGAACATCCATATTAAAAGTTTTCGATTATAAGAGTTCTCATCTGATTCAAAATATTATAAAAAAAATTTTTCTTTGGAGTGTAACGAATCTTTAATTTTTATGTTAAAATAATATATTTACATTGACTTTATTTATTTATTTATTTCAAGGTCATCATCATCCAACGTACAGTTTGAATATTTCTTCGGTTTCTACTGACTTGTAGATATATGGCCTTCCTGTTCCCATTTGATTAAAAAAGATAACGAATGTATATTTACCTTAAGAATGGATATTTACAATGTTGCCTCAGGCAAAAAAATTACACAAGTCGTTAAATTAATATTTTGAAATGCAATCAAGTTTTGTGATAGGTAAAACTTGGGATAACAAGGTCGTAGTATGTTTTTAGTATCTATAACGTTATATTTTTACAACGACAAAAATCATTTTTATATATTTTCGTGGCACAGTCATTTGTGATGTCATTATCATATACACTCCCTGGACAAAAGTATCCGGACACCTGTTTTTGCTAATTATACAAAAACGCGCATAATAACTACATATAA